GATATTTTTTCCCTGTGTGCCTCCGTGGGGGGAGATAGAGCGCATCTCCCACGAATTGTCAACGGAGCTCCACGTTGACGCCATGCCGTGGCATTGCAACGACGAGGCTGAATACCTGGCCGAAGTGGTGAAGGTGAAGGACTGGTTCACGCAGGTATTGCCCGGCACTCGACGCAACGTCGGCATCGCTCGCGAGAGAGAAGGCGAGCCGGCAACGCCGAATCCCGTAGGGGCCCCGCATCCTTGCGTGACACCTGCCATTCTGGAATTATTCCAGCGACGCGAGGACAAGACTTACTTGCAGGGTTGTGCCAACTGGTCCTACCTGTGTCGGTGCGCCCGCGCGGTGGGCTTGGAGCTGGCGAGCGGAACCACGGACCTAGATGTTTTGTGCAGCGAGATCATCAGTATTTTCAGGGCTGGTCAGATCACCAAGCTAGGGGACGAGCTATTCCGGATGCGCATGGACATGTTGTTCCTGCGCCTGGCGCGCCGCCGTTCGCATGCCGCTCTTCAAACCTTTTTGGCTCACGGCAAAGATAAGGCCACTCAGGAAATCGCAATCATGGTGGAGACTTTGCGGTGGTTCGAGGAAGCAGATGCTAAAGAGTTGGCGCGGCTGCGGCAGGGCGACCTCGACGACTTGCGCAAGGCCATTCCCAGGAAACTTGCGAGGAAGCCGCCGCGCAAGAGGAAGTAGACGCACTGTTCGGGCGCACTTGCGCCCGCGTCCCAGCGCGCGCCGGGGCACGCCCAGGCTCGGCCTAGAGCGCGCCGCTTCGCCAAGACAAAAATGATGCGAACAGTCGCCCTCGCGCCACTAGGCGCGGGATTCAGTGGCCCCGTCGGTTGCCCGCCGAGATTTTTCCCAGAGATATGCAGCAAGGGCTTCGCCGTGGCGGCCCTGGCCAACCGCCCCCTGCGTTCTGCGACGGGGCCCGAGCGAGCGAGGGCCGCTGCCGCATCCGCTTCAGAAATCGACGCTCAGTTCCCGCTCGCGCCCCTGCGAGGGGGGTCCATCGATCAGGGGGCGCTCCGCATCTCTTCCTGCGAGTTGGCGTTTGGATGGGCCCCCGGGGCCCATCCAGACGAGTTGGCGTTTGGATGGGCCCCCGGGGCCCATCCGAACGCCGACCGCGCCCCGGCGGGGGCAGTGGCGGGGGGCGCCCCTGCGTCGATTTCTGCGGGCTGGCGTTTGGGTGGGCCCGTAGGGCCCATCCAGACGCCGATCGCGCTCCTGCGGGGGAAGTCCAGCGAGCGGGGGGCGCGCCCGCGCCGATTTCTGCGAGTTGGCGCTTGGGCGGCACCCTAGGGCCCATCCAGACGCCGCTCGCACCCTCGCCGAGCAGTTCCAGCGAGCGGGGGGCGCCGCCGCGTCGATTTCCGCGGGTTGGCGCGTGGGCGGCCCCTTGGGTCCATCCAGATGCCGCTCGCGCCCTTGCTGGGGAGCTGCAGCGATATGGGGGCGTTCCCGCGTCGATTTCTGCAAGTTGGCGCTTGGCCAAGGCCCAGGGCCCAGGGGCCCATCCAGGTGCTGCTCGCATCGTTTCAAGGAAGCTCCAGCGAGCGGGAGGCCTCCGCATTGGATTCAGTGAGTTGGCGCCTGGATAGGGGCTCCAAGGCCCCGGCCAAACGCCGCTCGCGACATTGCCGGGGAGCTCCAGATTGCCATCCGGTCGGCAATAGATGGCCTTCCTTCTTACCCCCGAGCCAGTGCCCAGAGAGCTCCAGGGCATGCGGGAGAGCCCGCGAGGGCTCGAGACATCCCAGAAGGGCCCAACGCGGCCCCGACCTGGCTCTCATATAGGCCGCAAAGGGGGTCCGCAGCCAAAGCGGCTAGGGATATCCCAGTCTAGCGTCGAGCCGGCGCCCGGAGAGATCAGCAGGGCATGCGGGGGGGGGGGCCCAAACGGCCCGCGAGGGCCTGAGACATCCCAGGTGGGTCCAATATGACCCAACACATGACCCCTTTGCGGTTCGCTATAGGGCCTAACCAGCATCTTTCCGTGGACCCGCGTTCATTTAGCGGGGCGAGCGCTGGGCGAATAGATCGGCGCCCCGCTCTCGCGGCGCGCGCGGCCCCCTCGTCGGGGCTCCGCTCTCCCGACCTCGCCCGCCTATGACGCGGGCCGGCCGCCCGGCCCGCCCCGCAGTTCACCCTCGTTTCTCTCTCTCTCTCTCTCTCTCTCTCTCTCTCTCTCTCTCTCTCTCTCTCTCTCTCTCTCTCTCTCGTGTTTTTTTTTTTTTTTTTTTTTTTTTTTTTTTTTTTTTCTTTTTTTTTTTGTTTCTCTCTCTCTCTCTCTCTCTCTCTCTCTCTCTCTCTCTCTCTCTCTCTCTCTCTCTCTCTTTTTTTCTCTCTCTCTCTCTCTCTCTCTCTCTCTCTCTCTCTCTCTCTCTCTCTCTCTCTCTCCCCTCTCTTGCGACGCATCTGGCTCAAGCCTCCTGGTCCGTGCAGCGAGCTTCCGGGGATGACCGGGCGCGATGAGCTTGCGCTGCGCGACCGCGAGCCACGGCTGCTTGTGCGCCAGGAAGCCTTCGAACAGAGCGCCTTCGACAGGTTGGAGGTGCTGCGCCAGGCGGCGTCCGCAGCGGCGCCGCCCGCCGGGGGCGCAGGCGCCGCGTTCGATCGTCGCCAGGACTGGGTGCGACGACAAAGGCGGATAGCCCAGGGACGAGCGTTGCACGCATTCGCCCGGGACCTTCGCCGACAACTGAACGAATGGGGCCTTTGGATACATGGATCGCCCCCCCTTTGGCCATTCGCCCATGTCGTCGCCGCCGACAGGACCCCGTGGCCGACATTCTGGGCCACTTCGCACTGCGCCTCGCGCCGCGCACCACGCGCGCGCTGAGGGAGTGGTTCGTGGGGCGCGAGGTCGCCCTCATGGAGAGCCGGCGGGGCGGCCTGCCCCAGGGCGCGCGCCACCGCGCCCTCGCTTCACTGGGCGTCCAGCGCGCTGAGACGTCTCCTGGATTGCCCGAGTACCAGGTGTCAGTCCTTGAGGTGCCGCCTCGCACGTTGGCCGAGCGCCGCGTGGTTCTCATACGAGGCACGGCCTACGTGCCTGACGGGGAGACTAGCGCGTTGGCGTCGTACCGACTTGAAGCGCGACTGCGGCAAGCGCTGACATTGGCTGCACACGCCATGGAAGACTCATCGCGCAGGCCCCAGTTCGCTGGGTTGCAGCCATTGCTGGAGCGGCTGAGGGGGCGCGTCGAGCAAGTCATCACTGCTCCTTCGACAGCGGCCCTGCGGGCGGGGGCAGGCCCCGCCGGTGGCGGAGAGGCGCCTTCGGCCTGGCAGGATGTGCCTTTGGCGTTGCCCCTGCGGGCATCCATGGCCCATAGCGCACGGGCCCTCTGCCAGGGTGAAGGCCCTCCCGGTCAAGCTTTCTGGATGCCACATCCCCGATAGTAGCCTCGCCCCTAACGGTCAGGTCATATTTGTCAGCGCGCAACCTTCATTTAATCATGGTCTTTACCCAACCTGCAGATCCAGCACGGTAGACGACTCTTCTTCCTGGGGAAAGGTCCATGTCTTTCGTGGCGATGTCCATAGGGTCAATGGAGGTGCACGCGTCGTAATGGACGTCCGTGACAGTGGAGAGGGAGTCGGAGTAATCCGAGGCGTATCCTGCAGGAGCTGCTTTCAGGAGGTCTACCGCTGCGGCCATGCCCCCAGCTTTCTCATCTTCTTGTTGCTGGTCGTCTCCTTCTGGTTTGGGCGAAGCAGGCTTCACCGCATTGCAATCGTAATTGAATCTACTTTAATGATGGACAGGTGAAAGATCTTCCGCATCTTAACAGCTTGAGATATCGCTTGGGCTGTAGCTTGTTCGTAGTCGTCTTCCGTCAACTGCTCGTTGTATGGTGTTTTATTCGGATCGGTTCAGTAACCCCGACCATCGCTGTGAGACCAGACCCACGGTGTCTCGCGGAAGTTGGGGCCCCTTGATGGGCGTCTCATGGGGCAGCCGAGCCCGCGGCCGGCATGCTCGAAGCACGTGCAAACAACGCCTCTGTAAAGTTTCCGTTCCTCGATGATGGCCCTCTTGAGGTCGCGCTTTATAAGGGCTTCTTGTGCTTTGACAGCCCCTGCCCTCTTTGGGCGAACGACCTTGCCTTTTTCATTTTGGTCAACATTGCGAAGAGCATAACCCCATACCCACGATCATAATGCACCCCCCCCTTAAGTAGTTAGAGTTTTTTATCGCCGACCAGTGAGATTTGGTCGGGGGCGCGGGGGCGCGGAGGCCGAACTTCATTATCACTGGGAAAGTTCGCCATCGAGGTTACTTCCTTCTCATGCTTCTCGTGCTCTTCCTCCTTCTCATCATTATCATGTTTCGGTTCTTCTTTCTTTATCTCTCTCTTTCTATTTATTTTTCCTCTTGCCCCCCTGCCCCCCTGAACTTGTTCATCGCTGGGGTTGGTTATCCTTGGGGAACTAAGCGCGCGCTACCCTGCGCGAGCATATGAAAATATTTATTTTCATTAAGCACTTACATGATAAATTAAATAAGTTTTGAACTTTGGATGTTTGCTTCTTCCTCTCCCCCTGCTTCCCCTGCTCTTCCTCCTTCTCATCCTTCTGCTCTTTCTTTTCTTTATTTCTCTCTCTCTCTCTCTCTCTCTCTCTCTCTCTCTCTCTCTCTCTCTCTCTTTCAACTTATTTTTCTTCTTGTCTCCCTGCCCCCTGAACTTGTTTATCGCTGCGGTTGATTATCCTGGGGGAACTAGGCAGAGCGAGCAGATGGAAACCTTAATTTCCAGTAAGCGCTTACACATTAAATATCACAAGTTTTGAACTTTGGATTTTCGCTTCTTCCTTCTCCGCTCCTCTCTCCTCCCCCTGCCCCCCTGCTCTTCTTCTTTTCCCATCTATATATATATGTGTATGTCTATACATATATGCATGTTCTTTGGATTTCCTTCTCCCCCTGGCAGCTTGATCTCTCTACGCGCTGACTCTGGCGGGCAACTATTATGATCCCCCCGAAAACCCCGAACTTTATTACCCCTTAGGGTTTATTATCGGGGGCATGGGGTTACCAATGACGAATGCGGGCCCTGTCCAACCCTCGTTCAACCAGTGTCGCACTGTATACGGGTCTATGCGCTGACGAGCCAACCCAGCATCCGAGTAGCCCACAAGGCGCTGTATTTCGTCTTCTGGATATTCTTCGCGAGGCTCCCCCCCATTGAAGCGGGCGCCCCCGCAGGCGCCCCCTCCTCGGGGGGGCGCCAGGTCTATTGTCCTTCCATGGAGGGTTCCTTGGCTTCCTCGCATCAGGGGGGCGAGGGCGCTGGAGGCCGCTAGAGCGAGCGCGCGCGGTCGGGCGAGCCGCTGCGGGCCCGACCGCGACGTGCCAGACGCGCGTCATCTTCCCATTCTTCGTCATCGTCGTCGGCGCGATACCTGCGTCTCCAGGCCGGGCGGCTTGCCGATCGCTCCTGGCGGCTCATGGGGCGGTCCGAAGCTACGAATGTAGATTGAAGTCCTTCGCTGTGGCCGAGCTCGCACTGGGCGCCTTCAGACAGATCACCGGCATCTCGCGGGTTCCCCCGCAAAAAATCATTCTCACTCAATTCCATGTATGTCGGAATGCCAATAACCCGAGGAGCATCAATTCTATTTCCTCCCCTGTCGCAGGAATGGTGGCCTCTGAGTCCGCGGGTGCCACCGCTATTTCGCCATCTCCTTCGGCGGGCACGTGGAAGTTCTCGACAAATTCAATATCGGCAGGTTGCCCCGCGATGGGTATGCTCAGCCAGTCTACAAGATCGATCTCATTGTGGCCAGTGAATATCTCCACCGCTCTGAGCCAGTAGTGTGGCGGTCTCTGTCGGTTGCGGATCGTCATCCCCGACGTTATTAGCAGAATGCCCTGCGTTTGCCTCAACATGGAAGGTCTCGGTTCGGTGGCCGTGACTGAAGATACCACCAATATTGCCAGGGTTGTCTCAGCAATGTGAGCACATGACCTCATGCGTTCAAGTAGAGAGTCAAACTGTGGCTGGCCCCTCGGCATGCGGTGGTATAGTGGTTACAGGAGTTGTTGTGCACGTGACGTCCCCACTCCAAGGGCTCTGAATGAAATGACTGTTTGAATTTGGAAGTTGGGGATGTTAAAGCCTGCCGTTTCAGCTTCATAGCGGGCTATCTCGAAGCGCGCCAGGGTCTGGTCGATCCGTTCTCCCGCATTGGACTCGGAAGTCAATGAGAGCTGTACCAGAGTTGAGTTGGCGTTCCTCTTCTAGGTTCTCGAACTTCGTACGTACGAGGAACATGATGTCGGTGGCGCCACTGGTATAGCGGCCACCTATGTTAACGCCGAAATTGATAACTGCGGGGGGAACTCTCATCTTGCAACGCTGCAAGGCTGCAACTTGTTGGGAAGGCGTCATGTTGCCTGTGGTCACGTTGATCCAGGCATGCGCCTCGCGAGCGAATTCGCGGAAAGGTACTTGACCGGACGGGTCCCAATGGGGGCCGGTCGTTCTTGCGTCGTCTCCGCCACGCATATGTCCCACCGCACACCCGATAGCAACCCATGCGAGCCCAAAGATAGTAATACCAATCCAATGGCCTCGCAGGTTGTGGTCGGATGTGGTTGGTTGGGGGTTGCGGTATGTGGTCGTGAGCCTGCGTGGGGGTGGAGGCGGTGCAATGTCGTATCGCATGTTTCCATGCATTATGTCACCGAAAAAGTTTCCAATTGGAGTAGGTGCTTGGACTTCAGGAGTGCAGTAGCGCAGGGATGTAGGACACGAGTAAGAGGCCTCTGCGTAGGCAGAGGTATCACTGCAAGTGTCTTTGCGATGTTCCGTAGTTGTATACATTCCTCCGTGCAAACCCACTGCACCCTGACGTTCCACCACGTCAGCAGTCCACCACATAGCGCCGTGGATGGTGAGGAGTAGAGCAAGAGCTGACCACCATAGGCCAGCTCCGCTACCAAGTTTGACAGGGGTTGGGAGGCCCAACCAGCAGTTTCGCCTTAAGCGAAGCCCAGCTCCAGCTCTGTTATATCGTAGTAGCGACAATCCCAGCAGTAGGTCGTCGCGAGAGCGACGGGCCATCTCAAGCGAAGGATGTTTTCGGTCTCGATGGCGAATGGTACACCTCGCGCTGAGGTGTAATCAGATTTGGGCGGCCGGCCGTTTGAGCACAAACGGCCGCGGACACACGCTCGTTACCTCTCGCCTGTATCCCAACTCACTTTAGAGTTCGCGGCCACGAGCGGCTCGCTAACCCGGGTCAGCCAGAGGGGGTCTTCGCATGATCCTGCAGGATCCGGCGCTCTGGCTGACCCCCGTCTGCATTGACCCCCGTCTCAAGGCTCCCGAGATCCGCTGACACCCTCGACTCCGGCCCATTTGAGCGGCATGCATGGGCAAGCCCTGCGCAAAAGCAGTCGCGAGACAGCGCGGCGACCTCCCCCACGAAGCCAGTATACGGGGAAGATTCGTGTCGTGACGACGCCTGCGATGATCTATGACGCCGCATGCAGCACATTTTTCTCATGGTAGAAACAGAAACACCGTTTGCGCAAACGGTCCGCATTGCCCTCACCCCGCACGCATGTCAACATTAGAAGGTTGCCTCTGCAATCGAGAAGACGCCTGCACCGTTGTAACTCGGAGTCGCAGTCTCCCAAAGGGCAGCGCGGTGAACGCATGCCTTCGAAGGCATGGATGCCTCGGTGTGGTCATCCTCTCCTAGCAACCCTCCGACGGCAAACCCACCGCGCCCAAGGTGCTTGACGTAGAAATTCAAGTACAAGGTGCCCTTCTCAGTGCGCCCATGGGCGACTTTGAGTTCTACGCCCCCAAACTTTAACCACTGCGGATGCTCGTCGCGCGCACCCTCGGCTTGGAAATGGAGACCGTCGGTTCCCTTCGCCTCCACCCACGCACCTGTGATGTTCAGCTCGTGGAAATACATGTCTGCGCACTGCCCTCCAACTTGCCGCGCCTCAGCCTCCACGCGAAGCATTGCATTGGAACGCCTTCCACGGGGGATGTTAATCCGCCGACCCCTTGGTGTTCATCGGCGTGTGAGATGCTTCCACCTCCCCAAACCCCTCCCCCGGGAGCCGGATCCGGTCGATTTGGAGGGAGGGGGGTTCTACCAGGGCCGCCGTCGGCGGTGTGGCATAAGCCCAATAATCAGAACATGCCTTCCTGGTTTCATCAAGTCGAACCGCTGGCCGAGAACGTTCTGAAGGTGGGGGTCGCCAGTGGCAGCCACGGCTGCGCCCGCTCCACCTGCCATCGGAGCTCCAGGAAGAAACGTCGGATGCGGCGTCGGCCAGCCCAGAGGATACGTCGGGCTGGGGGTCGGGCTGGGCGTCGGGAACGGCGTCGGGAAGCCGGTTGGGAAGAGAGTCGGGAAAGCTGTCGGAAACGGCGTCGGGAAGGCCGTCGGGAAGGGCGTCGGTAATGGCGTCGGGAAAGACGTCGGGAACGCCGTCGGGTAGGGCGTCGGAAATGGCGTCGGGAAAGACGTCGGGTAGGGCGTCGGGTAGGGCGTCGGAAACGGTGTCGGGTAGGGCGTCGGGTAGGGCGTCGGGTAGGGCGTCGGGTAGGGCGTCGGGTTCGGGTCGGGTTCGCGCGCGGGTTTCGGCGTCGGGTTTGGCGTCGGGTAGGGCGTCGGGTAGGGCGTCGGGTTTGGCGTCGGATTCGGCGTCGGGTTTGGCGTCGGGTAGGGCGTCGGGTAGGGCGTCGGGTAGGGCGTCGGGCTGGGCGTCGCGGTGGTCACTTTCAGGCTCGCGCCAGCATCGACGTAAAGACAGTGCCCGCCTCCCCATCCAACGTTGTAAGACAGCGCTACTTGACTGCCAGATGCCGAGGGCGCGGGCAATGTCCAGGTGAACGAAAACGCCGATCTGGAATGAGGTGCCACACCATAGTTATACGACTCCGACCCCACCACAACACGGATGTAGCCTTTGTAGCCCCCCCAACCCTGGTCTCTCCAATAACCACTCATTTGGATCGTCGTGATTGGCTCGGTAATTGTCGCCGAGGTCCACCAACTATTCCAACCGCAAGTGCAGCAATGGCTGACTCCTCCAAGACTGTAAGTTTGGTAGCCAGCTGAACGCTGCGCGGGCATCCCGCTCACTTCCTGCACTTCATGCACCTCCTTCATACTGTCACTAGTGCGCGAAGCGTTGTGCGGGTCGATACCTCGATGGACGCCCTCGCTCACCATCATGGAAGCCGCGGTTGATACGCCCTGAACCAGTAGCGCCACGTACACGATCCATGGTGCACTCCTGGTCGCCGCCATCCCAACTGCCGGAGGTCCGAGTGAGAGGGACCTGCGCAGGTCCAGTCTCAAAGGATGGTGTGTGCACGCACGTGAAATAGCGACAATGGCTACGGTCTGACGCCGCATTGCATCACTCAACCTTGACGATCGCGGCTCTCCGATCGCCAGATCGCTTCATGCTGGCCGATGATGGGCAAGTGGCGGCGTTCA